CATCATTGTCATTGTGAGTGAGACCCTACTCCTTGCAGCAGTCATCACAGTTGAATCCTAATCACAGCCCGTTCTTTTGAAGTGGTTTGAGCACCGAAGATAGGTGACGGTGAAATCATGTCCACTTGTAGGTCGCATATAATACATATATTGAAAGAAAACTACTTTTCCTGGAACTAACATGGAGAAAGGAAGACGATGCTCCTCTACAAACAGGGTCGACCTAGCCATGATAGTTCCAGAGTGTGTATCTGTCATATCTTTCAGCTCCAAAGTCTCTTAGAGGTCCAAAAGACAACATACCAAGCCTTACCAAACTGCAAGCAAAAAAATGCTGGCGGCAAAAGAGACCAAACAAACGTGTTTCGGATTTTCCTATTTAATGAATTCCCATATCACGTATCGCTTGTTCTCCATCAGGATAGCATCATGCTCCTACGAGGGATTTCACTACGACGTCTTTGCCAACACAGCTGCCAGAAACTCCCTGCGGGCAGTGTTCGAAGAAATGCGGGGTCTGAAGTAACAGCCTGAACCTAGAACGATAAACCATACATGTTCTGCGCAAAAGATCTGACATAATCACCTGACAGACCCTTGTAAACGTACTTAGGAACTAAGGGATCTAGTGTAACGTCACATGCTCACGGTACATCGACTTTGTGTACCTCCCAAGGACTCCAAATGAACATGGATCATAGATGCCTATTTATCAAGTGATGAACAAAGATTTCGGCAGGGATGCAGGTGTTGGGGCAGCTGTCCCCCAAGCTAGGTGTAAAACTATAAAATAAGATTCACTACATGCAAGGGACCATTGAATCTATCTCTAAACCAAATTGTCCACCTGCACGCCAGATATGTTTGCAGAACACCATTGCAAACTTGAAGAGACTCATTGCCCCTGAGCCTAGGATACATGCAGTGGCTGCCAAGTACTACTTGAAGGAACCCTTCTAAATCTTTGGTTGCGCAGAATTTGATTCATCTTTAACCACATCTGGTGTTTCTCCCCAAGTTGCTACTGGCTCAAAGGATCTGGTGGTGCCGGAATCTTCAGATGTCTTCCATCTTGGGGCTATCATATAACATTATGATACCCAGATCTGTCAAAAAAAGGATCTAATGAGACATCATTTTACTTCATCGGTCCTCACATTGGGCCTTCCCAGATCGGACGTCGCTGCATTCGCCGCCCACCTCTTTGGCATCGTCGCTCCTTCGTGTCCTGGAGCGTTGACCCCCGGTGGATCCCGGTGACTGGGTTGTCAAAGTAAAGAACACTGCAAGCATTACAGTGTAATATGTACCAGCTTCTTCAAAGTGACCTTTTGAAGGTTCCTAAGTGACCCTGCTCGGAGGCTTGAGTGACCGAACCAACCAGGATATCAAAAAGTCACGTTGAAGAACCAGGTGCAGACCTAAAGTTTGACCTCTAATAGGGAAACAAACACCTATTTTGGGGTGGTTGTTGATGTGAAAAAAAACATCAAGGCCACTCAGGTTCTAGGTGTGGATATGATATGGCTTATATATATATATACACGAGGGGGTTTGGTCATGCAAAAAATCATCAATGAGACTTCTCCCAGTCACTTCAATTGGTCAAGTTCAGACTCTCTGTGCTGACCGAATCTGGTAGTAGAAGAGCTCTGTCTGATTGCTCCTTGGAATCATGCAAATGAATACCACCTGTTTGGTTTTCGGACAATGGTCATCCGAAATCGGGGTCATTCCATCCGTAATCGTGATGATTCCAGGGTGAGGGTACTGCTCTTGAGGTTCAACTAACTCGACCAATGGTCCGAACGGCACCCCCACAAAGGCCTTTCAGAGGGACCGAACCGACCGACTCGCTTCATCGACTTCAGCGGAGCAGTGACACTCAGGCGCTGTTTGGCTGTTGATCAGTGACTCTCCACAGACATATGGGTATATATGGGTGTTGGAACTGCTTTCCAGGTCTTTGCTGCTCCAACCAGGGCTTTGGGTTGGAACAAGTCCCTGCCTGACAGGTCATTCTACGCCTGTTAATCTCAACCATTCTTTACTTCGGATACAATTAATGATCCAAACGCGTCGCCACGAACGAACAAGTGTCCGTTCTAAACGACCCCGTCGCCCCTCGGTTCTTTTTAACCCCGGCCTGCCACCCCGTCGGCGGACTCCGCCCATGATCTGCGCCTGGAAGTGGGACAAACGACGTTTCGGTCATTTCAAGGTTCACAGGTTCACCGAAGCAGGGCGTCCCCTTCCATCCCCACCAAGTTAGGTGGTCGCTGGCCCTTGACTGGTGCAACGAGACTGCGGAATTGGATCTTGGATGTTCTTCAAAGGCTCATTGTGACTTGTGCTGGACAGGAACCAAATTCCGCCAATTGCACGCGGAAAACACACGATTCGATCTTTAAATTTGGATGTTCATTTAAGCAATCTCTCTTCAACTTCAAAAAGTGTGAGGTTTTGTCCAGCTAGACATGATGGGTTCAATCTCTCCGGTATCTGTTTGGGGTTCATGCTGCGCAGCTGGCTTCGCCCCATTGGAGGAATCGCTCGGTGTCGAATCTTCAGAAAGAGCCGAAATCGGAAGTCTCTTGAAAGCCTGATCTTTGCTTGCTTGCTTGCGTCCACTCAAAGCGTTCGGCACGTTCCTTTACTTAGTAAAAAGAAAACAGAGGCCTCGCTGTAGTGTTGAAAGCCTGATCGCCCTGCCAAACATCTTCCAGCGCTGAGAGGCCCTGATGACGAGGCCCTGAGAGGTCCGTTCCATGCCACTGATGACTGGAAAACCACACGGTGTCAACGAGTGTCAACGAGTAACGAGTCACTGGGAATGGAAGCCTCCCGAAACTACATTCCGCGGACCAACCTTTTCGAGTTCATCACTTCACTCCCTAGAGATCCCTAGAGATCCAGTCGTATCCCCTCTCAGGTACTTACTGAGGACGGAGACACTGTGGCTAGGTGCCAGGACGTCGGGTCCAGTCGTACCTTCGGTTTGGACTGGAATCCGTCCCTTCACTCACGGAGCCATGGCGCCTCACTCGGCCGTGTCGGAACGCAGACGCGGCCGCCGCCCCAGACTTGAGATGAAGCCAGGCCGGAGAAAGGTGGCCCACGTGTGACAGGGTCTGCGAGCAAGGGAAAAGGAAAAGAACATAACCATGCTTTTTATGTAAATGATCTGCTTTTACTGTTTTCATTAGAAGATACGTTTTGAACATTGAGTTGCCTGATTTAGATTTTTTCCATTAGAAGATACATACCAGGAAGTATGATCATTGAAAGCTATAACAGTTGTCAATTATCACTAGCCTCAAGGGTTTTGGTTTATTTCAATTAGGTGGTGTTCAGGTGCAAATAAGTTTTGGGGTGATTTGGCTTCTTGGATTTTGACCTTGAAGGCTCGAGCTTGCAGACTTTCTGAAAGTGAGCTTGCAGAGGCCCGGAATAGGCCAGAAAGCTAGACAAAGGCCAGGGCTAGGCCAGAAAATGCCAGAAAGCTTCAAAGGTTCAGTTTGCAAAGGGCAGGGCTAGGCCAAAAGGGTTGAAAGCTTGAGCTTACAAAGGCCAGGAAAGGCAAGAAACCTTAAGCTTGCAAAGGCTATGAGTAAGCCAGAAAGCTTGAAAGCTTAAGCTCGCAAAGGGCAGGAAGAGGCCAGGAACCTTTTGACACCTTGAGCTTGCAAATCCCTATATTGCAAGCGCCAACAAGAGTCAAAAGTTAATTAAACATGAATGGATGGGGTGTAGGGCGTGACCGGTATTTAAACAATATTGTATTTATATTGCAAGAATGCGAAAAAGGCTTCATTGAAACATGAATCGATGGAGTGTAGGGCGTGGACGGTAAAAAATTCACTGTTTGTTCCACTTAACTACCCTTCGGCCAACATTTGTCTAGGGCGCCACTTCGTGTCGAACCCTAAAGCCCTAAACCCTCAACCCCTGATAAACCGAACTTGTATAGCTCTGACAAACGTATAACCACACCCCGTTTCCAGTATTGAGTCCACCAACCTTAACAAACCCTAAACACTAACACTTTCCTAACCTTTGCACTAAACCCAAACGATCCTTCACACCTACCCCTATAAATCCATTACTTTCCCAAACCCCAACTCATTATCTTTCCAACGCTTGACCCTGACCCATGTTATTGCCTGTCCCCCTTCAAACCTTTTTCAATTCTACCAATTGCACCATGCACAAACCTAGATCTTTATCCTTATTTTTCACAGCAAAATTGGTCTACAAAAAGGCTCTGTATAGCAAAATTTGTCTTTTTACATAGCTTTCTATAACAACATTAGTCTACAAAAAGGCAGGCTTTGTATAGCAAAGTCCACCGAAAGGCTTTCGATAGGCTTTCGGTAGCAAAATTGGTCTGCAAAAAGGGTTTATACAGCAAAATTGGTTCACTGAAAGGCTTTCAATAGCAAAATTGCTAGACAAAAGGGCTTTCTACAAGAAAATGGATCTGTGCAAAGGCCTGCTTTCATTTCCTTTATAAAAGTTGCCTTTTCTAGTTCTACAATCTTGTTTCATTTTTCTTTGCATTTCCTCTTAAACTACCACGAAAAGGTTAAAACAAAAAACCACACAAAACCCGCACAAAACTTTGGAAAGAAATTGCTAGGTTTGGGACTGTTGTGGCTTGATTTGTCTGTGAATTGTTCGACTCTGGACATAAAATCTTGGCTCTGCAGGGAAATATATGCCACTGCACACATACTCTCATCAAAACTCTCATGCCACCTTCGAGGTTTAGACTGCAGGTGGCGTCCACCATCGTCAAGAAAAAGGATACCCTGTGCCAAAAGCCTTGTTTGGCACAGAAATCTATATAATTCTACAGCAACTCCCTCATTCGGATGTCCTCCGTAGGGCCAAAATCGCAAAAAACAACACCCCTCTGCTCAAAGGAGCCACGTGGTCACTGCGTGCTCACTGCTCCAAGAGCCACTGGACGCGGCCAGATGCTACAGCCGGCCACAACACTATGCCTTGGTCACAAAGCAGTCCAAATCCATTGGTGCATGCACTTCATCGCCACCCTGCATCTTCAAGCGGTAGGCGTTGCACTCGTCCCACTGGCGCACCACCACACCTCGCTCCCAGCCATTGGGCCCTTCTCCAGTTTTGGCCTTGATCTTGGTACCCACAGCGAAGCGCAACGGCTTGGTCATCAGGCAGGATTGGAAGCCTCAACTGGTCTCACAGTTCGGGAGTGCACACGGTATACAATCCGTAACAAATACAGGTATACATGTGTGTGCACACACCTTTATATGTATTCTCTATGCATAAAATCATAAACTATGTGTGTAATATATATATATATGCAATTATATGCATACGATATTTATACATATTCATGCATCACAACAGACTCTAACATGACGTTCGCTTCCCACTCCCCGTCGTTTCTCTCCATCCCGACCTTCTGTCAACTCTCGTCGCCGCGGCTGCATCCCACGACCGATGAAAATGATGCGGTTCTCGCGTTTTTCTTGAGGCCCCCAAGGCTCGGTAAAGCCCTGGTTCCGAAGCATGTGCACGCATTGGAGCACAAACTTCCGATCGCTGCCAGCAATATTCAAAACTGCCTTTACTCGCAAGAAGTCTTTGGCTGTCTCCTCTTCGTCCAAATACCGGTCCAAGAACTGTTGGAAGGCAAACATCATGACCTGACCCTCACACCGGACCCCCACGTTGGAGACAGACTTGTCCATTTTGGGACGATAATGCTGCATAAACTCCGCTTCATCCATGTACTGCTCCTCCAAGACCTTATCCAAATTAAAGCATCCCACATTGAAGAGGCGATTCATGGGTGCCCTGGACTGCTGACAGGGGATGATCTCCACTGCACCATTCAGCTCCTTGATTCGCCGTGTCACCTTAGTAGCGGTGGCCTCCACCCTAGTAGCGATGGCCTCCAACCTAATAGTTCCTTGATTCGCCATGTCACCTTGTCCAGCTGCGTCTCATCCACCAGGTCGATCTTGTTCAACAGCACCGTACTGGAGAAGGCGATCTGAGCACAAGCGGTGCCCTTCTCGGGGTCACCTGGCCAGGGGATGAATCATCCAAAAAGGATAAGGATTTGTCCATTGGGTGGACTTAAAGATTATGATTATATATCGTTCACATCGCAAACATAGACCTCCCCTCCCCCCCATTCGTGGATTTTGGGGAGCCCAACATTTGTTCGTCGTAATGATGCACTACTCACAATATTAAACCTCAGACCTTAAGACAATGACAGTATTCTTTTATTACTATTGTGTCCAATTGATCGAATTTAAAAGCAATTCAACAACTAATTATTTCAATCTGGAAAGAGGTTTAATGATTATTGGCAGGTGTTTATAATTGTATGTTTTAGGTCTTCACAAGGGGTACTCTTGCGAACACTTGTTGATTTTGACTATTTTATGTTATTGTTTGAAATAAGGATGTTATAAGTAATTTGATTGTTGCTAGCTAGGTTCAAACATTGATTTAGCTGAGACAATGTAATAAGTTAGCTTTAGATTTGAATAACGCTAATGAATTAAATTAGTATTTAGTCAATTAGTTAGTTTTTAAAGGCATTTCAAGTAGGTTGACAGTATATATATACACTTTATAATTGACACTGTTTGTTTTACTATTAGATTGTTGTTTGCCACATTTGGGTTTACAATTGCATCACTCTTTAGACTTTTAATGTACTGAAAAATATTGGAAGATCGGGTTATTATTGACAGTCGTTCATTTCGCAGTTTATTATTATGGTTTCGGAGGCCCGGAGAGTTTGAGGTTTATCATTGACTCGTAGTTCATGATGCAAACATTATTAGCTTATATTACTATACTATAACATTTTTATGACCCTTGCACTTTAGACTCGGGTCATGGGTGCACACGCATGGACCTCTGCTCTCATCCAACTTTTCGAGACCATGCTTGGCATCCACCAGTGCCACCACATTGTCCACCATAAAGGTCGATTGCACCTGGCGATCCACGATGAAGGTCTGCACCACAGGGGCAGGGTCGGCCATACCTGTGAGTTCAATCAACACACCATCCAGTTTCAACTGGCCACTGGTGTATTTCCTGCCAATGTTGTGTAGGGTTTTGATCAAATCACCTCGAACTGTGCAACAAATGCAGCCGTTGTTCAACAAAACCAGCTCTTCCGCCATGTCTTCGTGTTTCTGTTCCACCAAAGCGTCATCGATGCTAACCTGAGCAGCGTTCCTGCTTGAGTGGATCAAAATGGTTGATCCCCATCTATATCATCTATTCCAATACTAGTAACAATGGCATCGCTACTAGTAGCTAAGGGCATCGCTACTAGTAACAAGTGCATTAATTACTACTAGTAGCAAAAAGCTACTAGTAGCGGTCCATTAAAATCTTTGGGAACCGCTCGCCTCACCAATCTCATTTTCGATGACTGCCAGCTTCTTGTCTTGCTGCTCTTTCAGGATATAATTCAACAACGTTGTTTTGCCAGCACCCAAATAGCCAGTGAGCACCGTGACGGGCAAGCGGCTACGAGGATGACTGTTGCTATAGCCATGGCTATGGCCATGGTCACCTTCTTCCACCTTCTGCCTCTTCTCCATTACGTTCTTGTGCAAGCTTGATCCAACTGTCAAACTGCGAGGTTGGCTCCGCACGAAAGAAGACATACAAACATCTCTGGCATGATTCTTCTGTTCATCTTCACTGTCCACTGGCAGCACGAAAATGACTGACACAAAACGTCGACTTGAGAACGTGCACATGTCGGTGGAGTCATAGAGTCATGCATCACCAATCGAGAGAGTCTGAGGGCCCCAGCTTCTTCAGTTCGTGACCTTGTGAAGGTTCCTTTAAGTGACCCTACTCGGAGGCTTGTTCGTTACACGAACTGAAGAACCAGGCCCTTGACTCCTCTTCTATCTTTCAAATTTGCCCAACGAATCTCACTTTTCATCCGCGGGGGCTGCGGCTGTTCAATCACCACACGGGGTCGTGCAGGTGCTATGGCGGAGCTCTCTTTGGGCGCTGCCGGTGGAGATGGCGGTTGGAAGCCGGTGGAGATGAAGCCTGGCACTGCCGGTCTTTCGAGGTTGTTCCTGGGTTGACGGGTGTGTGGTATGCGAAAGTCATAGACTTTCTGGGAGACTTTCTGGGCTGCACTCAGAAAGAAACTCATCAATCTTAGGACGCTATTAGGGGCTCTTGGCATCGCTACTAGGAGCAAGGACGCCGAACGGGGCTCCTGGCCTTACTACTATAGGAACAAGAAGCTACTAGGAACAAGGGCTACTAGTGCAATCGCTTCTGCTCCCCAAACTTCCACCTGGCAGGGAGATACCCCTCTTCATATGCCTAGTAGCATCCTTGCTCCGTTCTTAGCGATGCCCTTTGCTCCTAGTAGCGTCCTTACTCCTAGTAGTAAGGCCAGGAGCACCCAGTAGCATCCTTGCTCCTAGTAGCAAGAAACTTGACAAAAACACTTGCCGGAATTCCTATCATCAACTCTCCTCACCGCGTGCGCAAACAAAGAACACGCGCCAGTCTCAGACTGCCGACCGTGGGCTCGTCGACGTTCGCACCTCGACTTGAGGTTGGCGACATGGACATCTCACACTCCGACTCAGGGGGGCGCCGACCTGAGAAAGGACCGGCGAAACTGCAGTGGTACGACAAAACGGTAAGGACCGCACCCGAGTTGAAGATGGTGGGTTTAGGGCGAATTCTGATGGTTTTAGTGTTGCCCCGCTGTTCAATGAAACAATCATGCTCTACAGGGTCAAGGACATTGGAATATTGAATTGTATTTTCACACTGTTCTACCACGTGGACCAACAGTCAAACACTACTCACTACTCGTTTGGGATATCTTTGAGTAGCACACGGTTCCTGAGCCCTCCATTTGTCAGTTGAAAGGCCAAACAACCCACCTGGCTGGATCAAACTCTAGCACGCTTCAGTCACTAAGCCCTACCCCAAAAGCGGACCCGTTCGTTTAACACACATGATCACTCCGGCGTGACACGACCGCTCGGTTTGAACACCGGCTTTGACGATCGAAGAAGCGGTTCACCGAGACGTTTCTCTTCACCGAGACGTTTGTCGAATGATTGGGCCTTTTGTGGGTCCAGTTCAAACATGTTCACACATGTTCACACCAGTCCCCTTCGCGAAAACGTCGACCTCCTCTGATCGAAGCATGAGGCTCAACTGATGTCAGCAGTCCGAGTAGCAGTCCGCTGTTGTGCGACGCTAGGAGCCGAAGTTTGCTTTCCTCAGACTTTTGAAGCTACAAACGGGGCGCTCCTGGCACTACTAGGAACAAGAAGCTATTAGGTCCGAGGCCATTTTTATGAAGGTAGCAAGAAGCCTAGTAGCCGATGGGACTTGCCGGACGGTCTGAGAGCATGAGGTGTGGCAGGGGATCAAACGGTCTTAGCTTTTGGGGCTGACAACAACTCCTTCACGGTCATGTGCCGCGAGCACCCGCCTGACAGTTCGGTGCTAAGCCTGACAGTCCCAACCGACGTTGGTGAGAATTAGAATGACGGGAACAAACACAACCGTCCAGCAGTCACAAGACGGGGTGGTGTGCCTCGTCCCATCCAGTGAGTGGATGTGACAGGGGCACCCTTAACCTCCATGGATAGCATCCCGTCTTGTGACTCCATGGTCATATCACCTTCTCTCAACCCAAGGCCGACCTGCAGGCCTAGCAGGCTCCCGAGTCAAGACTCGGCCTAACGGCCTTCCCACATGTTCCCACCACTGCATGATTGCGAGTCAAAGCCAGTCTAAATGCATAAACATGACGCATGAACATGCCTCCCCACCCCAAGAAGATCACACATAAAAACCAAAACTGTTCTGGATTCTGGCCTTTCAACTCCATGGGCTTTTGGCACACATGGTCCTTTTGAACAGCAGCACCAGGCACCACCACCACCACCACCACCTCCGCCACCAGGCACCATAATATTCATATTCATATAAGAATCCGTCTGCCTCTCCATGAGCCGTTGATCCTCTTGCACTTCAGAACGCACCTCCGGCAAAGGCGCCAGCTGTTGCCTCAGGCTGTCGACCTCGCGGCCTGTCGTCCCTCGTCCGCGCGTCCGCTCGGACCCCCGAACGGAAGGGAAGGATAGCAAGGGACAGGGATGCCCGACATACGTCCAGTGTGACCCAGTAAAACCTGGTCAAACTATACCTCCCTTTTTCGTGGTATTGTTGCATGACCAACGAGGTCATTGACTTGTAGCGATGAGGTTCATCTTTCTGGACCACTTCATCGGTGGCATTGAACATATGTGCCTGGTTTGTGTGGGACACCAACAGGAAAGTTTTGGTTTTGCAAAGATCGGATCATTGGAAGATGAGTGTTGAGCATCAACATGTGCTTTGACCTAAGTCTAGCGCTTACCTCGAAATTGATCGACGTCTTCACATGATGCATTCCTTTGATTGAAAGCTATTGAGAACTCCTCCCACAGCGCCTTAGTTCCCTTCCAAAGAATTCAATTCATCACTGATGTTGTTTTTTCCGCTGCCTTTGCCGGGGGGAAGATCATGACTCGAACCAATGACCCCCAACCTCCACCACCCGACACGCCAAGAGCTCCGCGTCTCCAAGCCGCAAGAGCTCCGCGTGGAGCGGCACCTCCGCGCCGAGCGCCTCGTAGCGCAACGCGGCCAGGACGCTCCAGTCGCCCGACAGCGCGAAGCCCCGGCGCGAGCAGCGCGCCACACGCGCCACGTGCCGCACGGGGGAAGAAGCGGAGGCCTGGCTGGAGGGGAGGTGCAGGGCAGCAATCAGTGTGAGTGGGGGATAAAGAAATGAGTTTCGTACAAAGGTGGGAGAAGGTAGCATGAGACATGAGGTTGTAGCTTATATGATTGACCAGTATTTGGGCCAACTAGATTCTGACATTGTTGAAGCGTGCCAAAGCCACCGTAACATGTTGGGGCCCACTTCATTGATATAGGCCACAAAGAGATGGTCTCCTTGGTGAGGGACCCTTCAAAGTTCAGTGAGTTGCTCTGCATCCCAAACACTAGAGACATCAAAGGTTTTCAGGCGATGCTTCCAATGTGGGTTGAACTAATCAGTCCCGATTCATCCACTGGATCGGATTTTCGGCGGAAATTGAGCCACTGGCACGAACACCCTTGCCAGATTGAAGTCCTTGCACAGCCAAGCAACATAATGAGATCGATAGGTTCATCCAACCAAAACCAACGTTCTAGTTCTAGATGTTGAACACCATAACTGTTGAATGTTTAAACATCAGAAGGTTCTGGTGCCACAGCTTCCAACATCTTGAGTGCGCGGCAGAGGGGGCCGGTAAATCTGTGGTCCAAGTTGAACTAGTTGACCCAGTTGAACAAGGTGTCTCAGTTGACCCAAATTCACCCGGTTGAACCCAGTTGACCCAGTGTGTGATGGCCACTGCATCAACTGGAACCATTCGTTCGGGTGGAGCCAGTGCCTCAACTGTATCAACTGGGTTAACTGGATTATCTGGTTAACTGGGTGTCCGGATGAGGCGAGTGAAAGAAGTCGTTGACGGCTTGAGGTCCTTGACTCGTTTTCATACGACTCGTTTGAGGAAAGGGTCCCAACGGTCAACATGGGACGTCTGGCGTTGAGCTTGGCTTTCACTGGTTAGATAGGATTCTCTTTCTAGGGTTAACGATGTGTAAACACATATAAACACACGTAACAAAAGTTCGTTTAAGGCTTCATGTCATCCACTCTTCCTCAGTGGAACTTTGGACAAAAAAAATGGTGACCGAATCTGAACGAAGCCACTCCACTGATCCATCCAGCCGACTCCCCTCCGCCTTCCAGCTCTGCACCAGCACCGTCTCCGGTGGCCGCTGCAGTCGCGGCACGAAGTCCGCTGCGGCCGTCGCGGCGCCCCGCGGCGCGGCGCTGCGCCGGGCGAAGCAAAGGCGACCCTGACAGGTCCCAGCGGTGTAGAGGAGATGAAGATCCTCCTGGCGGTGCAGAGGAGATGGGATCTGGGATGTTCCAACATGCGGTGGCTTCATAGTGCTTCTGTGAGGAAGCTATAGTTGGGGTGTTGAGAGATCTTGCTAGTCTTTTTTTCATTCTCTTAGATACCCTGAAGCATCTCCCCCCATAGGAACAGCCCCAAAAAAGTGCCACAGCAGGTCAGTGAAATACATCATTCAGGAGGATACACGAATGGCCGGGAGCCACCGGGATCACGAACGGCACGAACGCCAACTCCTCCAGGGGCTCAGAGATGTGCAGCTGCAGGATCATGCCTGACGGTCTGCGGAGTGAAAGACGATTGAATCACACGGGACCAAATTATACCCTAGGCGTACTCCAACCTAATAGGAATGGCCTCCAACCTACTAGCGATGGCCTCCAAACTAAAAGCGATGACCTCCGACCTACAAGCGACGGTAAAAGCGATGGCCTCCAACCTACTAGCGATGGCTCCCTTTTCTTTAATTGGTCTTTACCAAAGAACCATTTGTTTATAGTAATTTTTACACTACGCCACCAGGTCATGTAACCATTCTTTTCATGGTCTTAGAAGGCTAGGGTGAACAAAATATGTTCCTACTA